ATTCATCACGTTGATCCCTATGGTCGAAGGGGCGGAGGAACTTAAGGATTTTCGTCCCATAAGTCTGCTCAACTCCTCTTATAAGATTTTATCTAAGGTCTTGGCCTCTAGACTTCAGGAGGTCCTCCTGTCGGTCATCTCTCCTTCGCAGTTGGCCTTTATAAAAAATAGACAAATCCTTGATGGAGCTATGATTGCCATTCCAAGCACCGAGCCAAAAAACCTGGTCTTTTTTTTTTAATAGACTGGGAAAAAGCACACAACCATGTAAACTGGTTGATATTGGATGAAACAATGGCTCTTATGGGCTTCCGAGACAGGTGGCGTAAATGGATGAGAGGGTGCTATTCCCACCCCAATTTTTCGATCCTCATAAATGGAACTCTCAAAGGTTACTTTCCCTCCTCGAGAGGTCTTTGCCAAGGGGACCCTCTGTCTCCTTTCCTCTTCGCTATCTCGGTTGAGGTCTTCAGCCGTTCACTGGGTCGCCTCTACCAAGCTGGCCTCCTTTCAGGTTTTAAGTCCTCACATCGAGGGCTTATTGTGTCACATTTGCAATACGCTGATGGCACACTTGGTCTTTCTAAATGCCTCCTCTCCCGAAGTGGAAAACCTTAGAATTTACCTTAAATGCTTCCAATTTGCCATTGGGTTCAAGGTTAATATGAAGAAATCGAAAATGATGAGCATTGCTATCTCCACCAGCCAAACCATTGAGCTCATTCCAGACTAGGCATGTAACGTCGAAGACCTCCCTACTTCCTACTTGGGTCTTCCATTAGGTCTCGGAAAACCGAGAAAGAGATATTGGTCCCATGTGATAGATAAGGTCGATAGAAGGTTGGCTGGTTGGAAAGGGAGATACCTGTCACAAGCCGGTAGAACCACCCTTATCAAAGCTACTCTGGCCAATGCACCTATATATACATGATGTCTCTATTTCAAATACCGGTCTTTGTGGTTAACCGCCTTGATCAGCTCATGAGGAACTTTCTTTGGTCAGGGCAGGCTGAAAAAACTAAGTTCCAACTCATTTCCTAGGAGAATGTACGCCTACCTAAAAACCACGGCGAGCTGGGGATTAGAAACTTAAGAAAACAAAATCTCGCCCTCTTAGGGAAATGGTGGTGGCGCTTGGCCACCCAACTAGACACACTTTGGGCCCAGGTGTTGCGAAATAAGTATAATATTCCAGACCATACCTGGATCCCAGAGAAAAAGCCCTGGTCTAATGCTTCAGGTGTATGAAGGTCCTTTACGGCCACCCTCGAACTATTCAGGAAGCTTATCAGATTCTACCCAAGAGAAGGCAGTAGAGTGCGATTGTGGATTGACCTATGGATAGGTCATACCCCTTTGAGGGACTGCTATCCCTCTCTGTTCTCTGTCACCGTTAATAAAGAGGCTACCGTAGAGGACGAGTTCAGAATGGATGTAGGCAGAAGACGATGCATCCATCTTTCAGGAGGAACCTTTCCGAGGGTGAAGTTATTCAATTCCTTTCTCTCTCCTTGCTGCTACACAATACCTTTATCCCTATTTTTGGTAGAGATAAATTGGTATGGTCCCCTGCCCCTTCAGGGGAGTTTACCGTGGCTTCTTTTTATAAAAAGCTTATCCAACCTCCTACTTTCCCCCTTAACCCAACCTCGATTCTATCACAGGTTTGGCAGTCCATTGCACCTCCAAAGGTATAAACCTTCAATTGGATTGCAGGGTTCAACAAGGCACTTACGGTGGACCACCTACAAAAGAAAGGAATCCCAATTCCCAATAGGTGCTCCATGTGCTTGAGTCAAGAGGAATCCACCAACCACCTTTTTCTACATTGTAACGTGGCCCATGATCTATGGGGACTGTTGTTGCAATTGTTTGGGGTCCGTTGGGTAATACCTCCAATAGTCAAAGACCTTCTCGCTTTGAACATGGCCTCGCACTGGCCGAAGGTCGGCAGAATCCTATGGAAAGCCAATGTGGGAGCAATAGTTTGGACCATCTGGAAAGAAAGAAATGCCAGAATTTTTCGGGGATAGGCTGGTGTAGCCCCCTCTCTATTCCACAAGGTTACATCCTTAGTAACCTTCTGGGCATCAAACCATCATTTTTTCTGTGGTATCCCAATAGACTCCTTCATACCTCAGTGGGAGCATATTCTCCTCCACAAACCAAAGAAAAAGAAAGTTATAAGGGCTTCGGAACCTCTCCCCAAAGGAGCAATCAAATTGAATTTTGATGGTTACTCCTTGGGAAACCTAGGACATGCAGGCGTGGGAGGGGTCTTTAGAGATCACCTTCACAATGTACTATTTACCTTCTCCAAATATCTCGGCATCCAAGATTCACAATACGCTGAATCAATGGCTCTCCTCAGAGGCATACAAAATTTTGACCGATCTTGGGGACAATTACTATTAGTGGAGGAAGACGCTAGAAACATTATCTCTTGGGCTTCTAGGACAGCTACTCCCCCTTGGTATCTTGGGTCTATTTATGATGAGATTCAACATCTTTTCAGGGATACGACCGTCTTATGGACGCATATCTCGCGGACGTCGAACGGATTCGCGGATCTGCTGGCCAAGGATGGAGCCAAGGCCCATGTTAAAGAATAGACCATACTACAGTTGGATTCGGGTCGGCTACAGAACATGCTCATCTTTCTTGGCTTGGGATTTTTTGTGATCTACTCTCCCTACTATCTTTGAACTTTTCCCAAATATTGTGTAAGGGGATAATTTTATAACCCCATTTTTCTCTCTACTTTCTTTTTACATTTCCTGTATACTGTGTAAGGAGATTATTTTATAACCCTATTTTGTATAGGGTCGGATGACCTATTCTTTTTAGCAGGAGTTCTGTGTTCTTAAGGTACTCCTGGATTTACCCTTACTATTTTGTATCTCTCTTTTATCAATACAAAAGTTAACAGTTAGAAAAAAAAAAACGCTATATTATGTCATCAGGTTAATTAGCCACCTTGGGGTTTCAATAGTATTTTAGAAAATGTATTTTTGATGTATTTAGGAATTTGAATAATATTCCTTGAGGAGCTATGTGAGCCTCATTAATGTGTTATTCCTCACATTTAGACCTTTGTGACTGGGGCTTGGAGAATTTTTGTGTAGCCAGGGGTGGGAGAAGTTAAGTGCTGGTTCCATATCACTTGTGTCCATCAATTAAGGTGTAAGATTATATAGCTTTCTGGGTTCATAGTGTGAGAAAATGGTGCCCTTATGAAAACAATATCTAAAGTTAATTGATGAGTTGTGGCCTTTAGGATTTTGTTATTCTGGTGAACAATGTTGCAGTTGGATGCTACCTTTAGAGGGGAGTCTGGTGGGCACATGATAGAGGTAGATAGGCTAATAATGTGGTTTCTTAATTGGTTTCCGTTGTATGTGCTATGTTTCTAAGCCATTCCTTGCTAGTAGGTTGTAAATGGGAATATGTCCTTTGCAGGTTCTATTTGTTCAAAGTTGTCACCAACAATCACCTTGAACTTGAGGAGGCTCTTGGTCAGTCATTATTCACTGTTGTTATGAACAGTGTTTGTCCCTATCATTGTACTACTAAACAATTTATTGAGGGAAGTTCAAGATACTTGAACTTGTTCATATTAAAGGGTCACGGGAAGGAGACAGCTTAGAATGGTGAGTCCTTTCACATCCCTTTTTTGTGGGCTGTCAATAGAAGTGATTTGGAGAGAGTTAGGAATGAGGTTATGTTTCATTTTTTCAAGATTAAACCTTATAGATGCCTTGCAAGATTAACATCATATACCTCAAGGGTATGTTTGGTGTTTAACATGATTACCACCATACAGGATAACACAACCCCCCCCAGAAAAAAAAAAGAAAAAGAAAGAAGCTTCATTACCTCCATAAGTGATCATGGGCCATGGGGTTGGACACTTCTTTGGGGGTGGTTTTTGAAGATCTCATAACTTTTGTCCGTCCTACTCACATTGAGTATCCATTCATTATTGAGGTCATCCCCATAATATGGTTGCTTATTGGTCTTATAAGTGTCTCTGTGATATTTGTTTTGTTTCATGACATCATTGACTCCTAGAGGTCGTTGCCATAACACGGTGGCTTATGTGTCTTCTAAGTGGCTCTGTGATGTTGTTTGTTTGGTTTCATGACATCATTGACGTTATCAATCTAGAAGAGTCCTGGAGTTCTGCCACATTCATATAGAAGCCAGTCTTGTGCTTATACAAATCTCCTTATTTACATTTGTTATGTACTCTTTTAACCCTTTCTTGAGTTGACTGTCCATCATTTGAGTATCTGAAGCTATCCATTTATGGATGTGCTACCAGATGTTCTCGTAACAGCCTAATGTCTATCCACTGGAACACACTTTATTGGTTTGACATGAGATACTGTATCTGTGTGGCTTAGGTCTCGAATTACTATCCTACCCTCATCTCCAGCTTTTCTGTGCTTTTCCTGTCATCTCTCTCTCTCTCTCTCTCTATATCTCTTGGTGTACTGTTTTACCTAACCTGGAGAAAAGGTTAAATGATACCATTCTTCAATAACAGAAATTGTGCATTTCGCAAGGTTAAGTTATATATATAATACAAGTACCTTACATCTTTTTGAAGAAAACTTTTCTTTTCACACTTCACATATCAGGTATATGCTGATGATCAAGCTTGTGAGGCATTTGAAGTTTCTCATTACATTCATGATCTCAAATTATCCCATTAGGCGGGCTAGGTGGGGATGTCTGCTAGTGCTGAGATTCAAATTAATTAATTTTCATTTATTTGGTTCCACCACAACTTTGTTGCAATGATTCATTGTTCGTTACTTTTCTAGATATTTCATGGTAAATAGGCAGTTTGATTCGTAATGTTTCCCTAGATTTACCTACCACATGTTAGATAATATGCATGGATACTATTGTTTGGATTTCTTGTGTTTTCAATGCATATGCTTCAATTTATATATGTGCATGCTCTCAACTGATTACTTTTTTGATGTTCACAGCCCTCCCCGTCTACTTATGATGAGGTTTTCCAATGCATGTTTGACTATATTGACAGGCTCTTTGTAATGGTGCGCCCCAGGAAGCTTTTATACATGGCTATTGGTGAGTATTACCTGGACTTATTCTCATTATTTACTTTGTGGGCCCAGTCTTCCGATCCCATATGTTTTTTCTCAAAACTTTTTCATATTATTTATAAGTGGGTTTTAGAGACACATATTTTGTTTCTACACATAACAGAGGCAGTCTTTTTTAATATCCTATACCAGTGGTTATGTATATGTATGCAATTCACATGCTTGCAGTATGTTTTTTAATTACTTATTTTTTAATTGCATAACTGCATAAATTTGGATATTATGTGATTCTTTCTAAGGTGTGACCCTGTCAAACCTGTGTTTGCATGTTACTGCATGCATTTGTGCTCGTTACAGTGTGCTTAAGTCGTTCCATTTGAATTTG